CAGTATCAATCTTATCTGCAGTAAAAGGGAGCTGCTAGGTGTGTGAATGACAGGCCTGAGAACTCCACCTCTTGTACATAATTAAGTGGTGAGAATCTGAGACGGGTCATTTGCCTTGGGCCCATTATGGACCAAGGACTGGCCACACGTGGACTGCCCATTCAGTTCACAAAACCCCACTCACCTTTCACCCCTTAACCATTAATCTGTAACCACATTGTCATATGAAAAAACAGAAATGTGCTGTGATACTAAACAGTGGCCATTTCCTTTACAAAGTGATTGAAACTGTTTCATAATCAGGGAGGCAATGATGCTGTGAAGAAGTGGCCCCTATGTTCATTCCACTTCCAGTAAATAGTTACAGCGTGTTTCTGCACCATGATATTACGAGCAACATTGAAACAAGTTCTGTAAGTCTGTTGAGAACAGTCTGAACAGCAACAAACATAGGTCTTAGTGTATGGTCATCTCTAAGTAACAGTTCTACTCATTTAGTAAGCAAAAGTGTTCCATTACCAAACTATCACATAGCCTATATCATGTGTAGCCTGTGATATCATGTGTAGCCTATGATATCATGTGTAGTCTATGATATCATGTGTAGTTTATGATATCTTGTGTAGTCTATGATATCATGTGTAGTTTATGATAGCATGTGTTGCAGAAGACCTATTCTATCCCAGATCCTCGCGTGTCGATATCATGTGTAGCCTATGATATCGTGTGTGGGATCATACCCTCAATGATAAACACACACTTCACAATTATTTCAAAAGACATGACTTGTTTACTGCAGCATAAAAACATCCTGGTGTCTAAATTCTTCATGATATGAGTTGGGTAGAAGTAGAGATGGTAACTTAATCACAACAAGACTGCAAACTGATCTTATCCATTTCTCCAATAAATGTTTGGCATATTATCTTACAGTAAACTATGTTTAGAACGAACATGCTTATAACGAACTGGCAGATATAATGAACTGGGTTTTCTTTTCCCGGCCATTTGCTGTGTATATGCTGTGTATATGCTTAGTGATCCATTTGAGTTTGTTATAACCTTAGATAACTGTATTTCATATGATATTACCAAGCAAGGTCAAATATCAAAATATTAAAAAAAATAGAGTATATGATACCGCTTTATACCAAATTGTCAGCAAAAGATGCACAATAATGCAGTTGTCAAATAGGCACTGAAAATCAGAATGGGACAACTTGAGAAACCTAACAGTCACCACTGATGGACTGATTATCCATGCAAAGGTTCAGTTTCAACAGTTCGATTACTTCAGCAGAGATGTAAAAATAATGAACAAATGGCGGGATGGAAGGACATCTGATAGAATAACAATAGCTTAGATGACTGCTGAATCAACTGTGTACCAATGCATCATCCAGTACTGGTGTCAAACTGGAAAGATTTTATGAATGTTTCAGTTAACTACATGATGCCTGTGCCATACACTGTGACACACAACTGGCAGTGTTGACTGTGCCGTACACTGTGACACACAACTGGCAGTGTTGACTGTGCTGTAAACTATGACACACAACTGGCAGTGTTGACTGTGCCGTACACTGTGACACATAACTGGCAGTGTTGCCTGTGCTGTACACTGTGACACACAACTGGCAGTGTTGACTGTGCCGTACACTGTGACACACAACTGGCAGTGTTGACTATGCTGTACACTATGACTCACAACTGGCAGTGTTGACTGCTGTACACTATGACACACAACTGGAAGTGTTGCCTGTGCCGTACACTGTGACACACAACTGGCAGTGTTGACTGTGCTGTACACTATGACACACAACTGTCAGTGTTGACTGCTGTACACTATGACACACAACTGGCAGTGTTGACTGCTGTACACTATGACTCACAACTGGCAGTGTTGACTGTTGTACACTATGACACACAACTGGCAGTGTTGACTGCTGTACACTATGACACACAACTGGCAGTGTTGACTGCTGTACACTATGACACACAACTGGCAGTGTTGACTGTGCTGTACACTATGACTCACAACTGGCAGTGTTGACTGCTGTACACTATGACACACTACTGTCAGTGTTGACTGCTGTACACTATGAGACACAACTGGCAGTGTTGACTGCTGTACACTATGACACACAACTGGCAGTGTTGACTATGCTGTACACTATGACTCACAACTGGCAGTGTTGACTGCTGTACACTATGACACACAACTGGCAGTGTTGACTGTGCTGTACACTATGACACACTACTGTCAGTGTTGACTGCTGTACACTATGAGACACAACTGGCAGTGTTGACTGCTGTACACTATGACACACAACTGGCAGTGTTGACTGCTGTACACTATGACACACAACTGGCAGTGTTGACTGCTGTACACTATGACACACAACTGGCAGTGTTGACTGCTGTACACTATGACACACAACTGTCAGTGTTGACTGCTGTACACTATGAGACACTACTGTCAGTGTTGACTGCTGTACACTATGACACACAACTGGCAGTGTTGACTGTGCTGTACACTATGACTCACTACTGTCAGTGTTGACTGCTGTACACTATGACACACAACTGGCAGTGTTGACTATGCTGTACACTATGACACACTACTGTCAGTGTTGACTGTGCTGTACACTATGACACACAACTGGCAGTGTTGACTGTGCTGTACACTATGACTCACTACTGTCAGTGTTGACTGCTGTACACTATGACACACTACTGTCAGTGTTGACTGCTGTACACTATGACTCACAACTGGCAGTGTTGACTGCTGTACACTATGACACACAACTGCCAATGTTGACTGCTGTACACTATGACACACAACTGCCAGTGTTGACTGCTGTACACTATGACACACAACTGGCAGTGTTGACTGTGCTGTACACTATGACTCACAACTGCCAATGTTGACTGCTGTACACTATGACACACAACTGCCAGTGTTGACTGTGCTGTACACTATGACACACAACTGACAGTGTTGACTGTGCCATACACTATGAGACACAACTGGCAGTGTTGACTGCTGTACACTATGACACACAACTGGCAATGTTGACTGTGCTGCACACTGTGACACACAACTGGCAGTGTTGACTGCTGTACACTATGACTCACAACTGGCAGTGTTGACTGCTTTTCACTATGACACACAACTGCCAATGTTGACTGCTGTACACTATGACACACAACTGCCAGTGTTGACTGCTGTACACTATGACACACAACTGGCAGTGTTGACTGTGCTGTACACTATGACTCACAACTGCCAATGTTGACTGCTGTACACTATGACACACAACTGCCAGTGTTGACTGTGCTGTACACTATGACACACAACTGACAGTGTTGACTGTGCCATACACTATGAGACACAACTGGCAGTGTTGACTGCTGTACACTATGACACACAACTGGCAATGTTGACTGTGCTGCACACTGTGACACACAACTGGCAGTGTTGACTGACGTACACTATGACACACAACTGGCAGTGTTGACTGCTTTTCACTATGACACACAACTGGCAGTGTTGACTGTGCTGCACAGTGACACACTACTGCCAATGTTGACTGACGTACACTATGACACACAACTGTCAGTGTTGACTATGCTGTACACTATGACTCACGACTGGCAGTGTTGACTATGCTGTACACTATGACTCACAACTGGCAGTGTTGACTATGCTGTACACTATGACACACAACTGGCAGTGTTGCCTGTGCTGTACACTATGACACACAACTGGCAGTGTTGACTGCTGTACACTATGACTCACAACTGGCAGTGTTGACTGTGCTGTACACTATGACACACAACTGGCAGTGTTGACTATGCTGTACACTATGACTCACAACTGGCAGTGTTGACTATGCTGTACACTGTGACTCACAACTGGCAGTGTTGCCTGTGCTGTACACTATGACACACAACTGGCAGTGTTGACTATGCTGTACACTATGACTCACAACTGGCAGTGTTGACTATGCTGTACACTATGACACACAACTGGCAGTGTTGCCTGTGCTGTACACTATGACTCACAACTGGCAGTGTTGACTATGCTGTACACTATGACTCACAACTGGCAGTGTTGACTATGCTGTACACTATGACTCACAACTGGCAGTGTTGACTATGCTGTACACTATGACACACAACTGGCAGTGTTGCCTGTGCTGTACACTATGACTCACAACTGGCAGTGTTGACTATGCTGTACACTATGACTCACAACTGGCAGTGTTGACTATGCTGTACACTATGACTCACAACTGGCAGTGTTGCCTGTGCTGTACACTATGACACACAACTGGCAGTGTTGGCAGTGTTGCCTGTGCTGTACACTGTGACACACAACTGGCAGTGTTGCCTGTGCTGTACACTATGACACACAACTGGCAGTGTTGACTATGCTGTACACTATGACTCACAACTGGCAGTGTTGACTATGCTGTACACTATGACTCACAACTGGCAGTGTTGACTATGCTGTACACTATGACACACAACTGTCAGTGTTGACTATGCTGTACACTATGACTCACAACTGGCAGTGTTGACTGCTCTACACTATAACACAACTGACAGTGTTGACTGCTTTTCACTATGACACACAACTGACAGTGTTGACTGCTTTTCACTATGACACACAACTGGCAGTGTTGACTGTTGTACACTATGACACACAACTGGCAGTGTTGACTGTTGTACACTATGACACACAACTGGCAGTGTTGACTGCTTTTCACTATGACACACAACTGGCAGTGTTGACTGTTGTACACTTTGATAAAATTTGATACAATCTTCTTCTGTTAGTATATCAAGTGTCTGACTGGCTTACCTCAGTGGTGCTGATTGCCAGTTGGTCAACTGTCAGTGAGTATATCAAGTACCTGACTGGCTTACCTCGGTGGTGCTGATTGCCAGTTGGTCAACTGTCAGTGAGTATATCAAGTGCCTGACTGGCTTACCTCGGTGGTTGTGGCTGGGGCAGCTGACTGGTCAGCTCTACCTGCTTCATCAGATCCAGCATTCAGGGCCTCTGTGGCCTGCTGGGACTGCATGGCTGTGTCCAGGCGATTGTACAGATCCATGCGTTTCACCACCACCTCTCTGAGCATGCCATCGAGTACCATCCTGCCAAGCTCAGACTTCTCCAGCTGTTCTGACACTCTCTCCATCAACCATGGCATGAATCCTTGCTCCACATCTGACAAAAATATAAGGATAGATATGTTGCTGGTGTGCTCTACACATGGTTCAAAATAGTTTAGTTAGCAGTTAGTATCAATAAACAGTTACTCCACAAACAGAAACAGGATTAGATGAAAGTAATCACCTGAAATTTCAATAGCATATCTATTTAATTGACAAAACCCAAATAACTGTAATGAAAGTTAATCTCTCAAGATCATATCTTCCTAAACTGTCTGTTTCACCTGTCCAGGTACAGTAATGATAAGCTTGAACTCCTTTTACCTCTCTCTACAGGATCATAGAAGTATCCATTGTCGGAGAGTGTTCCAAACACCGAGGGTACAAGGTCTGCGAGGTAGCTCTGTGCAAACACACGTGCAGCAATCTTCTCTGCAGTCTCCTTCTCCTTCCGTAATACTTCCCTCTGCTGCTTCATGCGCCTTTCCTACAACAAATATTCACACACTTTACTAGTGCACTAACAGGCAGTATTACCCATAAGGGCATGGTTATAGGTGAAAATATTTTCAGTAATTTTCCCAGAGCATAAAAACAATTGTTCCATAGTTTTCATTGTTTGTGAAGAGACCCACAGCAAAGAGATGTTATATGAATGTATTGTTGGAAATAATTGAACATTACGTCATTCCTTAGTAAGTTCATGACATCTTGGCAATTTTATGTGACGTTGTTACAACAATATAGTTACTGAGCAGGGAACCCACATTTTTCAACATTTTCTCAGAAAAGAGAGACCCGTGAAGATCCGGGGTAGAATTGGTCTTCAGCAACCCATGCTTGCTGTAAAAGGCAACTATGCTTGTCGTAAGAGGTGACCAGAGACTCTGAGGTGACCAACAGGATCGGGTGATCACGCACGCTGACTTGGTTGATGCATGTCATTGTATCCGAATTGCGTCAATCTCAAGATGTCAATCACTGGATTGTCTGGTCCAGACTTAATTATTTACAGACCGCATTGATTTAAACATACTTATTCACAAGGAGTGAACGGGATTGGGGAACAAGTTCTTCCAACTTGGAATGCCCTCTCCCTGGTATTTACAAAAATTTCAAATTCAATATATATGCATACAACACTTATAGATGAGAGAGAAAGAGAGAGAGAGAGAGAGCGAGAGAGAGAGAGAGAGAGAGAGAGATACATTGTTGAATGAACAGTTCTTTACACAAATCTTTTAGTTGTACATATATAATGTTGTACTGCCTTAAATATAGCTTCATTTTCTGTAACAACGTGATCTGCATTGCTGTATAACAGTAAGTGTACAATAAACAGGTATGTTATGAACAATATTTTTAAGGCTGTTTAACATAATTTCACGCTGATGACTAAACAATGTACATTCCATGAGATAGTGATATGCATTTTCACATGTATTCGAACATGTACAGTTCGGGTGATCTTTTATACCAATTCTATATAAATCATAATTCAATTGACTGCACATGTATCTCAGTTTTGTGTGTAAGATATTATATTTTCTTTTTCCATAAGCGAAGTACGAAGGTGACGTGGGGTGGTGCTTTTGTAACGAATTTTTAAAACAAGAAATCGTAGAATTTCGATCTGATAATGGAATAGAGTTCCACAATTGGATAAACGATGGGTAAAAGGATTCACACGAATGTCTTGGTCTTGTGAGAGGAACACTGATGTTTTCAGAGTTTCTGAGACTGTATGAGTTTTTTGCAGCAACGGTTTTGGGTAGAATATCTGTTAGATAGGAAGGGGCCATGTTATGATTAATTTTGAAGAAAAGACAAAGTTTACGTTTCTTTCTACGCGACCGCTGTCACATAGCTGGAATATTGCTGAGTGCGGTGTTAAACAACAAACCAAACCAAAATCAGAAAAGTGACTATGGGTGATTTAAAGAATAACCTATGAGCAAAAAGAATTTTACCGATTATGTGTTCCTTGGGAATGAATGTTGTACATTCCCAGCCTTTGCGTGGAACTTTTAACATTATTTCACAGGGGACAGATAATCTATAATTTCTTTTTTCTTGTAGGTTATCCTTTGACTTACTACATTGTGTACCTCTCTAGATATAGCCAGGGCAAGTAAGTTTGCATCATTACATATCAAGGTTCCATCACTTTGTACAAGACATTAACTGCTTTATGTTTCAACTGCCGTCATACAAAATCAAGTTGATAGAAGATGATTGAAAATGATTGAGATTATTTACTAACTAGGACATGCAGGCTAGGGGATATATGAATGGGAATTACTTTACACTCTCTCCATACACATACACTTTGACTTAAATTCCAAGTCTTTACACACCAATTTTCCCTGCAAAAGGTTTCATGTTCATCAGTAAATGGAAAAACTCATGTTGTGGCCCTTGGCTGATCTCGACGTAAAGTAATGAATGTTATGATGAACCTGCGTACCAAGCACATCATTTCCCTTGTGGAATCAGTGCCACACCTCATCTGTAAACAGATGTCTTTCTCTCCATTTGATTTCTACATTGACAAACCTTCTCCTCTCTGTGCCTCCTCTCCTGTTCTTCCAGTCGCTGTTGTTCCACCAGCTCTGCATTACGGAGTTCCTCAAAGGCCCGCTGCTGCATGCGAAGGTTGGCAAGCTCCTCCTCCTCCATGACCTCCAACAGCGCCTGCTCCACCGTCTTCCCCACCAGCACCTCCAGGATTGGCCTTGCCTCCACATCAAAGTCAAACAGCTGCAACACATACGCCTGTTACTAAACAAGCGAATATGCAACTACGTATAGAGCTCATCAAACTCTTTTCATAGCTCCAATTAATCCAGGATATTCCTTTCCTTAACAGTTTGGGATTGATAAGTGCTAGTATGTGATAAATGACTATCAAAGATCAAATAGATCATTTGAAAAAAGAAGAAGTTTTATCTTGAATGACACACATGGCAGGGAACCATGAAAATTCTCGTAAAATCTTTAAGTCAATGAATTATTGTAATGATATCACATGATCGGTATGGGTGTCACAACCGCTTAGTATTTGTTATATCTGCTCACATCTCCCTCCAGAATCTGTGTTGCTATATCAACTCCTGTCTTGGCTGGTATGAAGAGAGGAGATGGAGGCCTGTCTAGGAAGGCATCAGTCTGGCACTCCACGTCTGCCTCCTCCACACGATCACTCAACTCTTCCAGGTACAACTCTGTCTGGACATCCATGTGTTTCCGACCCTCCACTGGCTCTGGAGATCGTGGACGCAGTTGATCTTTCGCTCTTTTCCTGGCTATCAACCGCCGCTTGTTTTCTTGCTGTCTTTGAATCTCAATTGGGTCAGGCTGTGCGCTCTGCATATGTGAACAGAATTACATATATATGGCAAGCCTTCCTCTCTACTGTCCTATGAATAAATGTGGAATTTATTTCCCCAGTTCTTTCAAACCTATGCTAGGTATACATACAGGAATGTAAATTTAATCTAATCAAGCTACATCGGTTGTATTTAGCAAAGGTCCCTAATAACTTTGTTAAAATACTCCCAGACTTTAGACATTTCTACATGCTCACAAATGAAAGAGGATGCTATTTACAAATACTTTAATTAGCTATTTCATAACACATGACAAAACAGTGGTGTGACATGAAAACTGTCACAGTGGAAACTGGAAACAATTTAGTATATCTACCAGCATATCAACCAGCACTAATACTCCTTGATCATTAATAATGTCCTGATTCAAACATTATCACAAATGTGAAATGATCAACACTGATCATTGATCCAAAGCCTTAGTCCAGTAAAAAAAATTCCAACTGGCATATCTAGTGAGGTGAGGTGAGGTGAGGTGAGGTGAGGTGAGGTGAGGTGAGGTGAGGTGAGGTGAGGTGAGGTGAGGTTATAACCTCGCATGCAAGATTATTGCACTCATATAGTGATGTGCTGGCTGCTAGTACTCGTAGAGGCTCAGTTTCATAGTGCTAGCCCACTGAGATACCATGTACGGTATAACCCCACAGTGATACCCCACTCAGATACATTATACCGACTCTGAGCAGGTCAGTCCTTGTTTCATTGTTGAATGCCGAGTGCTGAGGGGATCGAACCACTGACCTCCCACTCCCTGGGAGCATATCTATTCAGCCCAGCTTAATTGGGACTACATTTAAAAGTTTAGGCTTGTAGACTCAAACAAGTTTGTGGCGAAGACTGCTGATGTCTTGGGATTAATGTTTCAGTGTACAAGAAGAGAATGACAATTTCAAAACAGATAACAAAAATGCATTAACATCTAATTTGACTCATAAACTACAACATGATACTCACAGCAGGCAGTGTGTGTTGGGCATATGTGTTTCCACGGACAATCCTTCTGTCATACATAATGTTGCCATATTGTGCAGATTGCTCATTCCTGCAAAGAGATAGTCATTCAGTACAAGACTTCATGTATGATAATAATTTCAGCTTGCAGTGGCATTAACACACTTTTGGAATCATCATACATAAAACATGGAACAACATCAATCCCCTGGTTCTGAGAAAGTAATGTGAAGCTGAGACACTTCAAGTAACTGAGATGTTGAGATGCCCAGAGATGACACTCAGAGCAAGAATACCATGTAAATAGGAAGAGTGCCAGTGTGCACGTGGGTCTGCGGTTGTGTAAAAGGCTAGGTTGGACGACTGTTTTATATTGCATACCAGTCATTAGCTTGTAAGACTAGGTAGAATCCCGGGAAACTGTAACCGATGTCCATAATCCATGCATACTTTTATTATGGTTCTGTTCGGATGAACAAAACCTTCCAAATGGTGTGCTGGTTTTCTTGGGGGAATTAGTCAGCAAAGAGCCGGAGTCACAGGAGAATAATCACAATACAATTTTATTTTCAAGAACAACTAACAATTTCTTAACTATATCTGTGGATGCCGCAGAGAGTCAGTACAACCCTCTGGGCTGTGGGAGAGAGGTCTGCTTGGTATGAGCGTCAAACCCCTTCTGCTTAACATTTTGCTTCTGTATATATTTAACAAAACTTAGAACAATATAAAGGAATATGACTGGTTGATACACGATGGGGTGTGCCCTATGGTTAATGAATGGCTAGACAGAAGGGAATACTTAATCCTGTTAATCCTGTTGGACTGGCGCTAATCTTGACATATTTACTGGGTGCTTGGAAAGACATTATGGTATCACTATAGACAAGCTTGTATGGGGGCTAATCCTTAATGATTCTCAATTGAAGAAATTGCTGAATGTTATTCTAATATAGGTGATGACAGATTTACTTAAATAAAATAGTTCAAGGCAATCTATAAGACTATGTAGACGTAACTTTTGTCTTATTGGATATTATGTCTGGGAGATGGGATCTTGATACCTTAGGCTAGTATTTATCTGAAAGCTTTAAATCTATTTAACTATGTAGACATAACTTTTGTCTTATTGAATAGTATGTCTAGGAGATGTTTTCGTTACCTTAGACTAGCATCTATCTAAAAAGCTATGACTGAAACTACTGATATTTTGTATATGCATTTTACCTGATATGTATTACTTGCTGAACCATAATTACATGAAATGTTGTATAAATGTTACACCATGATAACTCATAAAAGCACTTGCTGTAGATCTAAATATTGTATGACAACTTAGTATAAATGTTATATCATGATACTTTTAACAATATATGCATGCATTCTTAAAGAAACTTGCACTGGTACTTTGAAATACAAGTCTGACAACATTGTCTTCAGTAGAGTAATTGGTCTTAAATAGATATGACTATTATATAAATATGTGTCCTAGTTTCAGCGGTTTAAGCATGATGCAAACAAACATAAAGTACCATGGATGACCTTGTGGGAAATTGTATCAAATTGCCCATAGATTGGGGATGCTGGATTTGTACAGCTTCTCAGAAGAACAAAAGAAGGAATGCCCACTAAAATGGCTGTACTTTGTCATACGATCATTGACATGGCACCCATGGTTATGATTAAGTCGGTGTTGTGTACTTGAACTCAACCTTCATGATGCACTGTCACTGCCTTACTAAAGCACTGATTTTGCTAGCAAATGTCATACAGACATTTTCCTGATTTTCGCAAATTTTGACATTCCATGCCAGTGTATTCCATCACCAAAATTGAAAACTATCTTCAGGACACTTGAGTGCGCTAAGTGAAAGGCAGTTCTTATTTTTTTTATGTAGCCATCTTTGTCCTATTCCACAAAATGCATTACCAACACAATAAGACACGAGCTAACCTTGTCTCATGTGAATATACAGATATATACTGTAACAACACAGTATCACTGGAGCAAGTCTCATGTGAATATACAGATATGCTGTAACAACACAGTATTACTGGAGCAAGTCTCATGTGAATATACAGATATGCTGTAACAACACAGTATCACTGGAGAAAGTCTCATGTGAATATACAGATATATACTGTAACAACACATTATCACTGGAGAAAGTCTCATGTGAATATACAGATATGCTGTAACAACACAGTATCACTGGAGCAAGTCTCATGTGAATTTACAGATATACTGTAACAACACAGTATCACTGGAGAAAGTCTCAAGTGAATATACAGATATGCTGTCCCAACACAGTATCACTGGAGCAAGTCTCATGTGAATATGCAGATATGCTGTAACAACACAGTATCACTGGAGCAAGTCTCATGTGAATATACAGATATATACTGTGACAACACATTATCACTGGAGAAAGTCTCATGTGAATATACAGATATGCTGTAACAACACAGTATCACTGGAGCAAGTCTCATGTGAATATACAGATATGCTGTAACAACACAGTATCACTGGAGCAAGTCTCATGTGAATATACAGATATGCTGTAACAACACAGTATCACTGGAGCAAGTCTCAACACAGTATCACTGGAGCAAGTCTCATGTGAATATACAGATATATACTGTAACAACACAGTATCACTGGAGAAAGTCTCATGTGAATATACAGATATGCTGTAACAACACAGTATCACTGGAGCAAGTCTCATGTGAATATACAGATATATACTGTAACAACACAGTATCACTGGAGAAAGTCTCATGTGAATATACAGATATGCTGTAACAACACAGTATCACTGGAGCAAGTCTCAACACAGTATCACTGGAGCAAGTCCCATGTGAATATACAGATATATACTGTAACAACACAGTATCACTGGAGAAAGTCTCATGTGAATATACAGATATGCTGTAACAACACAGTATCACTGGAGCAAGTCTCATGTGAATATACAGATATGCTGTAACAACACAGTATCACTGGAGCAAGTCTCATGTGAATATACAGATATACTGTAACAACACAGTATCACTGGAGCAAGTCTCATGTGAATATACAGATATGCTGTAACAACACAGTATCACTGGAGCAAGTCTCATGTGAATATACAGATATATACTGTAACAACACAGTATCACTGGAGAAAGTCTCATGTGAATATACAGATATGCTGTAACAACACAGTATCACTGGAGCAAGTCTCATGTGAATATACAGATATATACTGTAACAACACATTATCACTGGAGAAAGTCTCATGTGAATATACAGATATGCTGTAACAACACAGTATTACTGGAGCAAGTCTCATGTGAATATACAGATATACTGTAACAACACAGTATCACTGGAGCAAGTCTCATGTGAATATGCAGATATGCTGTAACAACACAGTATCACTGGAGCAAGTCTCATGTGAATATACAGATATTCTGTAACAACACAGTATTACTGGAGCAAGTCTCATGTGAATATACAGATATATTGTAACAACACAGTATCACTGGAGCAAGTCTCATGTGAATATACAGATATGCTGTAACAACACAGTATCACTGGAGAAAGTCTCATGTGAATATACAGATATATACTGTAACAAAACAGTATCACTGGAGAAAGTCTCATGTGAATATACAGATATGCTGTAACAACACAGTATCACTGGAGCAAGTCTCATGTGAATATACAGATATGCTGTAACAACACAGTATCACTGGAGAAAGTCTCATGTGAATATACAGATATGCTGTAACAACACAGTATCACTGGAGCAAGTCTCATGTGAATATACAGATATACTGTAACAACACAGTATCACTGGAGCAAGTCTCATGTGAATATACAGATATGCTGTAACAACACAGTATCACTGGAGCAAGTCTCATGTGAATATACAGATATTCTGTAACAACACAGTATCACTGGAGCAAGTCTCAAGTGAATATACAGATATGCTGTCCCAACACAGTATCACTGGAGAAAGTCTCATGTGAATATACAGATATATATATATATTTGGTTTTCAAGCCCCCAAGAAGTATTTTGGATTACGTGTCTTATAATAATCCCAATAGACTAAAATTAGGTCTTACCTTTGAGAACATATATTTCTGTTAGCACTTGGATTGTCAAATAACCATGTCTTGTTAATATTATAATGATAATGCCTTGTGTAGTGCCTCGTCTTGTCACCGTCACATTTTCAAGCTCCTCCATTACATTCAAGTTAAAAATAGATGCACAACATGATCTGTCACATGACATCACACACAGGAAGTTTACAAAGAGCAGCCAATACATCATTAGTGCATATGATTGTTCTGAAGCAAAATTGTCATCAGATCAAGTTTAATTAAAATGTGCATAAGTGAAAAAGTATGTTTGAGGTATGTTTTCATTACTAACTGAATATCTTACCTCATGTAGCTTAATTCATAACATGACTTCAGGGGCAAGTGGCAAACACTTTGATGTGCTCAGTGGGCTCTGAACTGTCTCCTTTGATTACTTCATTAACTGCGTGGTTACGTATTCTTTAGGGGCTTGAAAATAGGTGAGGCTCCAAAACATATCACATGGAGACACAAAACTGAATGATAGTTCACAATTTCATGACATATGGTTATCTTAATGTGACGACTTCTAAAAAATTAAACAGATGAAAAACATATTGTAATTTGTAGAAAGGACTATGCAAGATGTGATAAATCGTTACATTTTACTGGCCTGTGTCTTGCAAGGACTGCAAGGAACTCTGGGTAAGAGAATGTTTAGCTAAGTCAAAGTTATCCAATCAAAACATGTAAAACACGGTCAACCTTGTACGATCACGAGTGACTTACAAATTTAGTATTTTATCAGGTCTCTTCACCCCACAGGTAATTAATCTATTTTATAAATTTCATCATAAGGCTACTGGGGTTAACTTATATCAGGTCAGTCAAAGTGTCAATGAACTCACTCTGATGCCGAAGATTTTTTCTGACACACATTTTCCTAAGATGAGAAAAGTAAAGCTTGTGTGCTCATGCAGATCTACCTCCTGCTAGAAAATTACACACAGATGTAGAATATTAGTAATTTTCCTATCTGATCGTGCAAATTTAAACGCAAACTGCTAAGTGTTGTCTGAGAAATTATTCTGTTTTGAAAAACAGAAAATTTCTCTGCTTTTCATCATACACTAATAAAAGTTAGCAGCTGTATGGAAACTGTAAGTGAACAAAATACTGCCTAATATCTGAACGACATAAATATATATCAAATGGAGTTATAACCATCTCCTGAGAGTGGGTACCCGGGTAGGGTAGGGTAATAGGGGGGCGGGTAACAGGGTAGTAAATTTGGACTCATCCCAGACCTAGAGGTTACACATGTACAAAGAAAATGGGGCATACCGTATTCGACGTAATAAGCGCCCCGCTCTAATAAGCGCCCACGGCGATATTTGCTAATATATTGACTAGTGAACAATCCCAATTAGCACCCCTTCCGATTGATCAATGTACACAAGACCTATTTATTGGTGTATAATACGCACTCGTGTGTAATATGCACCCTCAATTGTGGGCAATTAAATTCTGGAAAAATATATCTGTCGAATATAAACATTTCGGGCTGTCAGCATAAACCACGAAATTTATCTTTCAACTCTGTTTTTTTCACCAAAATAATATTCTAATAAGAGCCCTTTATTTCTAATTTTGAGAGCGCCCTGGGCGCTTATTACGTCGAATACGGTAATTCTACTATGCCTAGCACTAGTTTGTTACTCAGGTCACTTGGTGAGAATTAGCTGTGGGTAAGAACAATATAATTTTGTGGTGTTTTGTTCACAAGGAACTAAACTTATTCCAACACAAATATCGATATTCTAAACTGTATACGTTTAGGTATAAAAAAATACACCATAAGAAATGATATACTTCATAAAAAAAAGAAGAAGTAATAGCGAAATGGATAGCCCTATCTAACCTATAAATTAGTCCTTACATTCCAACTTTCTCCTGAATGTGCAAGTGTAATTTGACGAATGTTGCACCATTATTAATGGAGTGCTAACCTTATCATCAAATGTTATGAATTACAAAAAAAATGACACCATTCTATTTGACGTCATGGCTGATTTTATGTCTTGGACAACGTTAGAGAAGGATGACACTGGTATTTTGATTAATATACATCTCCCCTAATTTTCGTTCATGGTATGGAAAATGTTGATGTAAAACGGAATTTGACACTTTTCGACACAACATAATATGACTGCTTTTACCATGTAAATAATGTCTGGAATAGATAAACAAGTAGATAGTTTACCGTGTATCTTAATTGGACAAGACACGCACCTGTTTTGTATAAATTTTACGTAATCAAATACTCAAAAGAATATTTCAAAACAAACAAAATTTAATTATATTCAATATTGGACATGTATTTGTTCACTATTATGTGATTATTTCTCTTCATCATGTCTCAGAATTATACAATAAAAGATGCGAAGGAAGCTCTATTGGTGTGGAATTATCCGGATAATTGTATAAGGTTCCACCAACGGGGTACATGGCACGGGTTATATTTTTATACTGTTTACAATTCTTGGAGAAATGAAGTTAACAGTTTAATATCCTGTGGTCACAATATTTAAAAAAGGATGAACCCACTGATTATATAATGCAAAACGGGAGGAATAATTCGTAAATTATTTGTGACTAATCGACCAAGGGGAAATCGTTATATATCACTGTTCTCTATATCAAACAACATAAAAAACAATTCCAAGACTAAGAAATTTTTTCTAGAAATCTGTGCATTTATTTTAATGAAAATTATTATCCATTTTGTTTAAGTTATATATTCAGTTTTAGTTAGAAATTAAAATCAAACGGCTATTCATGGACATTGTTTATATGAACTTAAAATATTGACTATTACACTCCCCAGAAATATATACATGTTGCAGTTACATTTACATTTCATCATGTAACACTTGTTCAAATTAAAGTAATATCATATACGACACTATAAACTTATCAATTTTTTATGTAAACAATGTTCAAACAAACAGGAGATTATCAATGGTTCATACATGTTTTGGCCTATAACTATGTACGATATCATATTGAACTTTGACAAATATCCAAAGAGAAATTAATTGTGTGAAAAAATGTGCAAAATCTACATCATAATTGAAACTGTAAACAGCATGACACAATGATCGTGTGTGCTTTCATTCAAGGACCTTCACCTCAAAGAAATTACCAAACATGTACAACAATGTTGATGTGTGTCATCACTACCCGTGACCGTCTTTTACACAAAATGGCGTGTTCACGGTCAACAGTACGCTTGATTTAACAAGGGGACTTTCGTTGATTCAAGGATCGCATATACATAAATGTGACATGTAAGTAATCAGAAACATCCTGACAATCAGTGTGCTGTTATTTATTGTTATATTTTTAATTAAAAACTAACGGAAATAGTCAGAAATTCCGATAAATACCATTGTCGTGCATGATTTGGCATCAGACAGGACAGAAACTATGACATTTTCTGTTGAAAATATCAAATCATTGCAATGTATCTATTTTAAATTCTCTAATTCTTCCTATGATTTTATTCCCATACATATTCTGAAATTGTTGAGCCAATGTATTCAACAAATAGACGAATGGATAGCTCAAAATAGGAGAAAATGCTAAAATCTTAATTTTGCTTTGATTACATTTCAATCAAGTGCAGTTTTTTTAGCTCAGCGTTCGTTTTCACACCTGATTTATTTTGCTTGGTTTCATCTAGACACTTTGTATTGGTGACAAAGACCATTTGTCATTTGATTCTAAAATGTATGAGGAAGTCAAAATGTATGTATCGCAGCTGAGTTTGAAATATACCTGATGTTCCAGGCATCTCTTAACCAGTACATGTGTTTTCCAAAACATTCTAAACATTTCTAGGGATATCGGGAATGGTTTTGAATGATCAGATTAGATAAACAACAGATACCTGCGATAACTAATATGCTATTTTTGAAATTGGTGAAATTCATTTTCCTGAATAAATATCCGAAATATTTCAAAACAAGCTGTAAATAACGCAGTGAGTGGTGATTTAGTAATGTGTATACGATGTACCTAGTTTTCAGAGGTCATTTTCAGTAATTTTACTTGGCCTAAAATGCCAGTGGATAATATCACCAAACAGGGAAATCCCACAGTATTCAAAAGTGTGAGGTGTATATATGTGTGCATGATGTATTTTGAATTTTCAAACTTCAAAGTGAAGGCTGAAGAGGAGGAACATATATGTCCCTCTGGCATCCACGGGGTTAATCTGTATGTGATAAAATATGCAACAGAGCTGCAAATTTATGAATCTTAATGGAAATAGGTTGTTGCTACGCACTGATATAAAAGTTGCTTTCCGAGACGAACAAGGTCAGTATTCGATGTGCATCGAAGGTAAATGTAGGTAAAGTCAAGGAAATTAACAGGAGGTGATTATGTGGTTCTGGAAAGAAACTGACAGGTATGGCCATGGCCCTCTAGCGTATTGGTCTACTCACTGTTGACCGAGCAAAGGGTCTCTATATTTCTTCCTCTGTTGTACTGCTCTCGGCTGACTGGCGAAGGTGTAAGTCCCTTCAGCTTTCTGTGGGAGAACTGTAGTCATTTTGGTGGATAACTTCTTCTCAGGCTCTTGTTGAAAGGGATACACACAACACGAAGTCTGCTATAGGACTATATCTTGAGCCCACGCAAAATATTGATGTCGTTGTTGCCGAGCAACAGAAGCCTCGCAGTAAATTTTTTACTAATAATCATAGAAACAGGTCACATGTAGTTTGCACGTGTTTATACATATATCGAACAATTATAATAAATATATCAGTAATAAATTAAAATGGATTAGAATAACGACTGTTGTCTTATTTTTCTGCGTAGTTTTCAAAGAATCAATCGTGTGGTCTCGGCATATTCCGCTAAAGCCAGTGTGACATAAGCGACCAACTCGAGTTATTCCGGAACAAGCCGAATAGGTCACGGAAAGGGGCGAATGGTGACGAATGTGACATAAGCACACTGGCTTGTCAGCAACGACCCGAAATGGAATGGGCACAATGGTAATTGCTAAATGTTTCAAAACAAAAGGAAATTCGAAAAACATGTGTGTATGTGTCTACACTGATATTTGTTGTCACGTTGTACGCTACCATCAATTCTTTCACGTTTGTTGGTATGTGTTATTTTAATTAAAATATATTTTGACGGTGTACTTGGGAGTTATTCCCCTTAAAGCGCAAATTTGCAAGCTCCTCACAATGAGAGCCCGTTTGCGGAGCTCTCTAATACAATCGCTGCCACCAGTCAAAACTTCCCATAGGTGGCCACAACCATGCTTGGAGTTGAACCCGCAACCGACGGACCGTTATGGTTACAAACAATTGACGACTGTGGCGACGCTGAACACACTTAACCCTGCTAAATTACTTTCTTCGTTTGTCAATTTGAATTTCTATTTCATTAAATCTATCATGTCATTGATACAGTAAGAATGTAAGGGAGAAGTTGGTTGATTTTCAGTTAGTCTGCAATCTTGAACCATCTGATTATTAAAAAAACAAAGTAAATTCATCTGGAAAACTTGATCAGTTGTAAACCTACATTTGGGGTTAGAGGGCAAATTTCAAGATTCTTGCAATGGCTGCGCCCACACTGGTGACAGCTATGTTACGAGTGTAACGAAGGTGTCACGGGCTGTGAAGGAGCTTGGCAAATTTGCATCCTTTGTTCCAAGTGGCTCAGAGTTATCTCCCCTTAGTTATAAGAGGGCGCAGTTGGCAATGCATGGCGTCACGACGTAGGGCTAAACTACGCAGCACACTTGTTTATTTTTCATTATTATAACGGCGCAATCTAATCCCGATGTGAAACCCTAACGAAAAATGACTGGTAAACGAATTCCTAAAATCATGGAGGCTTTGAACAGTCCTATGACCGAGAGTTTTAGTATGTATCACAGTATGACTCTCCACATGAAGAATCTAGATCAAGGCCTAGTCTGCTGAGTGAGTTGGAAGGTGTTACAGGCCGGCGGATGATGGGTTTGAGGCAAATGCACTGAAGTTAAAGTCGGAATGTGGTCAGTCAGAGGCAGAACTGGCTCTCTTGAATCTTGAGAAAAAGCGGAATGATCTAAAATTGCAGATTGAGAAGCTACAATCGGAAGTACAAGGGACGGCAGAGCGAGGTCATGTGACAAGAATTCCAACCACAGCTCAACAAAATGGCATACGAGGTAAACAAAGAGATTTCATGGACTATTTATGGGTTGACTCCCTCTTGATACTCCTAGGCAAACAGTAGATATTGGTGAAGGTGTAGATCTAAGTGTAGCCGTCCATAAAGAGTTCATGCAGAATGCATGTCAGAGGAGGGCAAGTGAGAAAGGAAGTTTAAAGAAGTGGACCAAAGGGCCAATCAGAAGAAAGGTAGCATCTGACAGGTATTAAAGGGAGTCAAGATGCTTCACGGTCACATGAAGTGGTGGACATATCTAAAATTAAACCTAAATTACGCGTCATTAGTTTCTGGAATGCTCGTCATTACTTTCATCCGCCACGTCAATAGTTTCAACAATTCATCACTAGTTTCAATAGCTCTTCAATAGTTCGGTACTATTGACGAGCTATTCGAAAAGACATAACAAAGTCGGGAGTGTGCATATTGTTGTGTGTTTTTTCTCACTTGGGCAACTTTATTTATCTAGTGTTACATTTTAAATGTCAGTTTGGATCCGTTCCGCTTCTCTGCCATTTTCTCTCAAATGATATTGCAGTGACATTAAAATCTCATGGAGGGTATTGCCATGGTAGTCTTCACCATTCAATTTTTTTACCTCCGTTATGAAGGCGATAAACATTTGGTTTAACTCGCCGTCAGACGCTTGTAAAACATACTTGTCTACTTCTTGTCCATTCCATTTTCTTGCTTTGTACCAAGTGGAGAGTAACCGAAGGGCCCAGTCACATTTTTTTAAAGCATTTTACTTTTAGCAGATCTTTCCAAATCTTGCAATTCAAGTAAAGAGAGTGGCCTACAGAAACGGCGCGATACCGGACTTAAGGGGGTTGGAGGGGGAGTTTCAGCTTTTTGTCGTGCAATCTCCACAGTATTAAATCCTTGACTGCAAGGAATAATTTCATCATCAGATGAAGTGCCGAGTTGTAGGTGGAAATTGCCAGTGGCTGTTTCACCGACCGGAGAAAGAAAAAGCTTCAGTTCCTCATCAGGGCGATTAGGCAATTCGGTCATAGATTCGGTCATCATCATACGTGGGAGAGTTGTTTAATAAATTCTCAAAGTCACTGTTTATATCTTGTGTATCAAAGTTTTGCGAAAACTTACTCTGGGTAAAAAATAACTCACTGTCTGAATCAGACTGACAAGCCATTTGGTTATGTCGAAAGAAATGCACGCTCACAACTAATGACATGCAACTGAAACCGGTTTCGCATGATTCTGGTGTGTTCGAGTGAACTGCACGCGCACAACTAATGTCGTTCAACTGTTACCGGTTTCTGTTCTCAGTTGCCTAATTGTCTGATACTACGGGATTCAAACTTGCAAAAGCTATGAAAAGTATTTTGAGTTTGTTTTTAGTTGAGATGTATATACTATTTGAACGCATAATAGTTTTTTAAGTGGATGAAGCATTCCAATGAAACTAAAGCCGCGACAATTTAGGTTTAAGTAGACGCGCCTCAGACCAAACCCTGTGCACAACTATTGACGCGTCTTCGGAGTTTATTCTTTACATAGATAGGGGGAAGTCCAGGTGAAGCTGGAGAAATCACAGAGGCTGCATAAGGGTATCAGGGTTGATGTTAGTTGGCTGACATTCAACTGCAGACAAGGACAACATATAATGAACACAGAATGAAGTGATGGTGATAATAGATGAAAATGTATATATGTATACATGTATAGAATGAATACTAGCTATAGGGGGATAAGTGGGTGGTACTTATGTGGCTATAACTCATTCAGAGTTAGCACCACCACCTGGCTAAATACACCCCCACTTTGGGAAATGGCGACCTCAGCATTAAATAGTGGCAGTGTATAATTACATCCTCACATCCTTTGTTTTACAACAAACTGCCCATCTGTCATCCACTTTGGCTTTGTTCGGGTTCGTCCAACTCGCCAAGGTGGTGGCTGTGGAGTTGACGGTCCTGAGCCAGGGATAGAACTGGTTGGTGCAGTTGGTGCTGGTGTGGATGGTGTAGCTACTGGTGACACACTTGCAAATGGCGGGCTAATTGGTGGCAGTGCTGACACTGGGGATGATACCGACACTGGAGAAGGACGCTCAATATCCATGTTGGTTGTTGAGATCTCCAGTGTTGTGTCAGTACTTGTGTCCTTAAGCTCGCCAGAAGATGGTGTTGAGACAGAGTAGTAGTAGTAGTCGTCGATGGTGTGCGCTGTGCCCTGGGTATGGGCTGACCTTTCTTACCAATGGGAAGGAGTAGATTACGGTGGAGTACACGACATTCTCTGGTTCCTTCCTTATGAACTTTAAACACCGGAATGTTGGCATGAGGTTGAGCCAGTTTTTGCTTCCCATGTATGTTGATGTTACGCACCAATACCACGTCACCAACCTTGATTGTGGCTCTGCGTGCCTTAAGATTATAGGCTTTGCGTTGTTTAGCCCGAGCCCTTCCAAGGTTTGCAGCTGCAAGCTCATATACAGTGTGTAATTTGCGTTCTAGATCAGCAGCAAACTGCGTATAAGCTGGTGATGAAATATTGGCCAGTGATGTACCAAAAGCAGCGTCAACAGGCAGCCTAGGTTGTCTGCCAAACATGAGGAAGTAGGGAGTGAACCCTGTTGACTCATGGAGGGAACAGTTATAGGCATGAACTAAGTGAGAAAGGTGATCTTTCCACTTTGCCTTTTGCTGCTCCTCCAGAGTGCCGAGCATCCCTAAGAGCGTCCGATTAAACCGCTCACATAGACCATTACCCATTGGATGATACTGAGTGGTCCGCGTTTTGAGAATACCCAATATGCTGCACAGCTGTTTGATGACAGGGATAGAACTGGTTAGTGCAGTTGGTGCTGGTGTGGATGGTGTAGCTACTGGTGACACACTTGCAAATGGCGGGCTAATTGGTGGCAGTGCTGACACTGGGGATGATACCGACACTGGAGAAGGACGCTCAATATCCATGTTGGTTGTTGAGATCTCCAGTGTTGTGTCAGTACTTGTGTCCTTAAGCTCGCCAGAAGATGGTGTTGAGACAGAAGTAGTAGTAGTAGTCGTCGATGGTGTGCGCTGTGGCCTGGGTATGGGCTGACCTTTCTTACCAATGGGAAGGAGTAGATTACGGTGGAGTACACGACATTCTCTGGTTCCTTCCTTATGAACTTTAAACACTGGAATGTTGGCATGAGGTTGAGCCAGTTTTTGCTTCCCATGTATGTTGATGTTACGCACCAATACCACGTCACCAACCTTGATTGTGGCTCCGCGTGCCTTAAGATTATAGGCTTTGCGTTGTTTAGCCCGAGCCCTTCCAAGGTTTGCAGCTGCAAGCTCATATACAGTGTGTAATTTGCGTTCTAGATCAGCAGCAAACTGCGTATAAGCTGGTGATGAAATATTGGCCAGTGATGTACCAAAAGCAGCGTCAACAGGCAGCCTAGGTTGTCTGCCAAACATGAGGAAGTAGGGAGTGAACCCTGTTGACTCATGGAGGGAACAGTTATAGG